GACTTATGCAAGAATATACAAGTATGGAATTTTGGATTAATGAAGGGAAAAAATCCATTCACAGTTTTGAAAAGCGTGTCTTAATCATTGGTATTTAAATCCCATCTTAGATAGGTGATTCTCTATTCCTGAGTTAAAACTTGTGAAACTTTCTAAGATTTAGCATTAGTCCTTTAAAATTTGACTAATCTCTATGTTATTATGTACTCTGCATGAGGTTCTTATTTATGTATTTTTATTTCTATAACTATTGTTTTTAGTCAGTGATGTATACTTAGTTATATAACTAGAATGTTCTACATAGATGTCATCAATGTTTTATTACACTGTTTGTTAAAGGAGGCTCTGACTCACTCTTCATTTTCGTTCGCTATTTAAATGTGTTTATGTAACAAAACTCACATGGATGAAAGATTGATGTAACAATAAGGTATGAATAATGATCACCATTTTTTAAGTAATATGTATGTGGTCGCGTTGTTTATATTAAATCTCTCATCCGTTTGTTGATTATGTGACATGTAAAGATCTTAAGCAGGCATAATTTTGTTCACTCGGTCGTCTTACTTCAAAAACGATGGTAATTTTAGAAAAATTAAGCGATATTTTAGAACTACATTACCGACATAACAAATTAGCTAAAGCACATCTCGATAAAGTATGACTAAACATGCATGAGCAATCATATCGAAAATGATATACCAACTTTCTAACTATTGACAATAAGCTGAATGGTAAATGAAAGCAAAACCTGTTCAAAGGTATGGGAGAGGTGAAATAGCATACTTGTCTATGGAAAAAATGGGAATCTGTGAAAATTTATGTAGGGGGTAGCATGTCCAATCATGCATCACCTCCGTTTTATACCAACACCACTTTTGACTAATCCCTGTGTGTCTAACAAAATGTTGTTAATTGTATTGAACAAACCATTCATTTTAAAAGTAAGAACATTTGTAAAATGAGCAAATTTTAAACATAGGAAGAATGTATTTACACAAAGAAAGAACGCCACCGAATCTATTTTTGTGAAATGTTGATTCATGCAATACTGTGAACTTCTAAAATTATACTTGTGATGATGTTTGTTTAACAGCTTAAAGGTTTACTTTCATTGCAACCTTTACTGTTGTATCTACAGTGTCTTCATTGATCATACGTAAATATAATTGCGTGCAGTTGATGTTTGCCTCGTATTCATAATTTACAATGGTTTATTCATTAACAAAGGTTCTTTATAATACGAACTGACTTGTGCAAGAATATACATGTATGCAATTCTTGATTAATGAGGGGAAAAAATCCCTTTACAGTTTCGATAATCGTGTCTTAACCATTGGCATTCGAACCCGTCTTAGATAGGTGATTCTCTATTCCCGAGTTAAAACTTGTGAAACTTTACAAGATTTAGCATTAGTCCTTTGGAATTTGACTAATCTCAATGTTATTATGTACTCTGCATGAGATGTTTATTTATGTATTTTTATTTCTGTAACAATTGTTTTTAGTCAGTGATGTATACTTAGTAATATTACTAGAATGTTCTACAGAGATGTCATTAATGTTTTATTAGACTATTTGTTGAAGGAGATCCTGATTCACTCTTCATTTTCGTTCGCTATTTAAATATGTTTATGTAACAAAAGTTACATGGATAAAAGATTGATGTAACATTAAAGTATGAATTATGATTATGATTTTTAAACTGATATGTATGTAGTCATGTACTAATTCAATTTATTTCAGTAATTTTCAGTATAATGTGCTATATATATATGTAGCAGGACACTTAATTTAGCAAAGATGAGCATTTATACACATTCAACTTTCACCCATACACATTCATCCTTCACCATTACAAAACACACAGGTAATTTAAAATCAAGCATTTTATATTAAGAATTATACATTAAAATGATCTAACTGCTAACCAAGCTACAGGAACATTGTATTAAATGGGTAAACAAAACAATTTACAAAAGGAATGATATCTGAATCATGTGGGATATTCATGATGAGTTATATACCAACACTGCCAATAAGTTTATTGACATGGTTAAGGCAATGACTATCACATAATTTTGTTAGCTGTTTACACTCGTCTGATAAGACATAGGGGCATTGTTATGTGATTTGCTTTTACTAATAAATATACTAGCTTCATGTTTAGATATTTGACTCATTCATATGATTTTTTCATGCATACAACCGTTGTGCTTACTTTGTTCATGCCATGATGACATTTAGAATTGCAACAAAGAAACGAATGAATAACAATAAAGCCTTCATAGTTGCTCGATCACAAAAATCGCATACTTTACTTCTTTATTTTATATACTTCCTTTTTTTAATACAATAGAAAGCAGTGAAAGGTTTTACTGAGCTACATTTAGGTACATTTTGGTATTATAATTATGATAAATTCGACCTCAGTTTAATGACACGTTTATTTACATCTTTCCAAACCTTTAAAGCTCATTTGGACAATGCTTTCTCGAATTAATTTAAGACTGTATACTTAATCAAAGAATTTATCTTTACTAACTTTAAAAGGTTAAGAAAATTGTAACTCGGACGTCACGTATTAATCTTTCTTAGCTCACACATATTAACGCAAGCGATCACAAATATCAATTTTATCCCCTCCTGCGACCGGTACTAGCAACTTGTACTTAATAGGATGCACTGTCTGTGTGGTATATAGTCTAATTCGTGTTGAGATAAAAGACGGATGTAGGGATAAAGCACGGATAAGGGGATTAAACACGGATCTTCTTAAAATTTTACTTCTTTTTATTTGGTTGTGTTTAGCAAAATTATCATGAAATTGTTCCATGTGCCAAATTGTAGGAAAGTAAAACCAAAATGTTTTAAAACATCAATCAAAAATTGCTTCGCAAAAGTTTATTTTACATGTGAATATAGTTAGCATATAAGCTCTCTGCTAAAGACATTATCTATACATTGTTTTTCTGTCTGAAAAAGTGACCCTATGTCTCAAGTTGCAGGTTAAATGTAGCGGGTAAAATGAAGTAGAATTGCACTTTTAGAAGTAAATGCTCGTAGAAAAAGTTTATGTTAAATTCTCGGGGATTGCTCATTTCTGTACATGCACACTTGAATGTGCAGTATGTTCTCTTGGAATCAACGTTCTGTGCTGTTAACACTAAAATATAATCTTAGCGCTGAAAATTCATGGCTTGCGTTTGTTATGCACATAGGCCCGTTCACACGATCCGATCTGTCGTATCTGATTGTTTCAGCTCCGACTTTAATTTGGTTTTCTTCTCAGAATGTCGGATAATTTGTTGATATTTATGTTCGTTGAGATATTTATATTTGTGTTATCCAGAACATTTATCGATATATTTTTCGTATTTTATTTTTGTTTACTTGTCTTTCTCAAATCTATGTAATTTGACTAATCAGTTTTCTTTGATCTTGTTTGATGAAACTGGAACAAGCTCTATTTTCATACAATTTTGTAGATGGACGAATCAGACTCACTTTTTTGTGTTCACAGGATCCGTTTCTAAAATCCGAAAATTTGTCAGAAAACTATGTAATAAACTAACAGTTGCATCGAATTTAATCGTTTTCAAGTAAGAAACAATAACATCGATTTCATTAAAGTTGAAATACATAAATGCTTCTTCTCTCTTGTCATTGTCAATAAAATAAGCATGCGAGTGAATTATATTAGTAAATATGAAACATGGCAGTACATTTTACATTCTTTGAACATATCTTATTGTTCATTTTGTATGAGTGTAAACATACAATACATTAAAGGAAAAACACACTCCAAAACACCATCGTGTAAACTCAAGATTCGAGTAATAGAAGCAAGAGACAAGATTCAAAGCAATATTTCGACTTTAGTTCAAAGTCATTATCAAGCTTAGTCATTCTTTACAAGAATGCGTAATCTTAAATAGTTGTTACAAAGAAATGACGTAAGCAATGTAAAGAAAAAAAGGCGGTGAAAGGAGGTGTTACAGTCTAGAATTACATCAATGGAATTAAAAAACAACAAGTTCTTTAGAAGCCTTTAGTGCAGAATTTAGCTGAGGCTTTTTGAGACGTATATAAATCGCCTCAAGAAAAGGAGATGGGCAAGGCCCTTAATGTTGAAGTTAAATTTGCCTGAGGATCATTCTCTATGGCATTGTGAAATACAATTTTGTTTCTATTGGAGAAGCACTTTGCTTTTTGAAGTTGTCAATAGTATAGAAATTTTTGATGAAGTCAGTTGACACTGGATCCGTTTAGTCACGAGCAGCTTTAGAAGTTATTGAACCGTATGAATTATTTTTCGTGGAACTAAGGAATATGATTATAATTCCACGTGGTTGAAATATAGATGTAACTTATATACAGGTATAAAGCGTTATCTCTAAACTAAAAAGATCACTATGAATTTGCGAGCTGTTTTCAGATTGAGCCATTAATAGCTGCAGAAAACTACAGTTGGCAAACTAATTTCAGAATTTGATCAACTGAAACTCAGACTTCAAGAGCTTCGAATTGAGAGAGGTGATAAGGATGACAAAATCGAAAAATGGGTAAATGAAATCAACTTCGAGTTGGAGGGATTTGACTGTGAAAAATTGACGATCAGTGTAAAGCAGACCAACGGAGCTTGGGAGGAAGAAGAACAAAAAGAACAAGAATTGCTAGAAGAAAAGAGAGCAACAATACTACGTCATGACATACTCTAAGAAAAATTGAAGCGCGAAAAGTTGCAACAAGAACCACGGTTGAAATATGAGTTAAAAATGGAATCCTTGCGAAAAGATCAGGAGAAAGCGAAGAACACCAAACCAAAGTTACCCAAGCACATGTGGTCACAAAATTTGATAGTAGAGCAACAGATTAGATGCCATTTTGGAATCAATTTGAAGTTGATATTGATTAAGCGGATGGCCCTTCGGAGACAAAGTTTTCTCACTTGAAAAAATACTGTCTCCCAAGCATTGGCGGATCTAGTGTTAGTCACAATTAATTGGTGAAATTATATTCTTTAGAAATTCTACACCAATAGTGCTTTTCTTAAAGTACTTTCAGTTTAAATTAAGCAGCTTTAATTTATTTCACTCACTGCTGCTGGCTATGACTACCTCTTGATCCCTGCTGCTCTTAAGATTAAATCGTGCATAAAAGGTTTAGCCTTTTCTGTCAAAGGATATCATCAAACAAAGAACATCCTAAAATCGAAGTTTAAAGATACCAGTGAAAAAAGTCAGCGCCTATATGTGCAGAACATCATGGATTTACCTAACCTACTGGGAACACACTGCAGTAAGATCCACGCATTTTACGATAAACTTTTCTTTACCGTTCAATCACTTGAAACTGCGAAAAACTAAAAAAAGGTAAACGGGTATGCTCGTATGTGCCTTAATAAATTAGAGGGAGTTCGGAGTGATTTAGTGCGCATGGATGATAATCATAAGCAATGGGATTTTATCCAACTTACTGACGCACATAGGAAATGGACGGAGAGAAATCCCATCAAAATTCATGATAAGCATGACGTTAAGAACATTATGCCAAGACATCCCCGATTTAGTGCATTGCAAACGCGCCAACACGAAGTTAAACAAAACGATGTTTTTATTGCAATGGTAAAGTTCCTACGTCAGCAGAACGTAAGAAATTTCTCAGCGCTAATCGCATAAATATTTTATATACGCTAGATAGCGCATCTGCATAACAAAAATTGAAGCCAAAAGTTTTCTCCTTGAGAAAAGACCGTAGCCATATTGGTCGTTCCCACTCGTTTATGAAATACTATGATAAACGCTAAATTTTAGTACATTTTTGCATTGAAAATACAGTTTGGATGCGACTACTTTGAAATTGTTACAAGTTACTGGAAATTTTACAAGAAAAACGTTGATTGGTGCTGTTTCTTTCGTTAAATCGCATTTTGAAGCCAATAATTTGGAATCAAAGTGCTATTTTAATTTGTACTGCCAGAACTAAAAATACTGAATGATTAAAATCTGGTGAAAATATAGCACGCTGTATTGCCAATTTTCTCCACATTCACAATAGAAATTGTATTAAATAACACGCTTCGTGGGAACGACCAATATGGACGCCACACGTAAGCCGCGACTGCGATCATTCTTGAATTTTTGCCTGCTGACAGGGTGGGATGCACTATCTAGTGTATATAAGATATCGATGGCTAATTGTCTTGCTTTAATTGCTCTGAGGAGGACATCAGGCTTTCGAGTGTTGTAGCAAATCCAACTGCGCTATTACAAGCAAAGGCATCATAATTATATTTGCGAAAATTCCTATGAGAACCAACCTACCACCAGTTCAACGGATTCCCGATTGGCAATGTTTTTCGATGGCTGGACAGCACAGTAGCTCTCCATTAGATACGGAGTGGTGAATGTGAGGATCTAAAGCAATTCCTAAGGAAACGGGTAAGAAAGATACAGGAAAAGAACTACATCCAGTGGAGACACAATTCTGAACAAGATAATCCTGCAGACCTAGCGAGAAGAGGTCGTAAAGTGACTAAAGGAAACGATCGGTGGTGAATGGGTCCAAATTGGTCGACAACGAAAGACAATTGATTAGAGAAGATGACAACTATAGCAACGGACGAAAGTCTGGCGGAAACAAAACCTGTAACACAAATATTTGAAACTGCAAACCTGCTACATAAAAGTTCAAAGAATTGCTGAACAAATACGATCTCTGGAAACCTTAAGAATTTATGGATGGATTTTAAGATTTATCCAGAACATTAGAAACAAGGACAAAGAAAGAGTGGTCCATTGACAACAAAGAAAATTAACAATCGAAGAATTTGGTGGATAAAACGAGTCCAACATAGGTCTCGAAAAACCTAGCTTAGGTATTGAAAGGCCGGCACAGGTACTGAAAAACATTTGCTATGACAAAGCCTAAAAACATTCTCGTTTTTCATATGCATTGTAAAATGGTAGTGAAGTCTTTCGTTATTATTGCGTCCTATTTTTTTCGTGTTTTACTATTTACATATGAGGTATTTTAATGAACGGTTTGGTGAAAGTGTTTGAGTTAACGTTTGGTCATATTGTGGTGAGAGTTGTCTACCTTGTGAAAATATAAAACCTTTGACCATACATACGTGGAAGTCACGCGAGATCGTGCGCCTAACACACATTGCGCATAAGTAAGGAGGCTACAGCATGCTGTGAGAAATATTTAAAATTCTTTATGTTGTCAAATTTCATTCACGTCAAAGTAAGTTGAAGATATTTTTCGGGTGATAAATGATTATGATATCAAGAAATATTCCTTCCATCTAATAAAACGGTAAGAAAAGATTTTACATCCTTAGATCGTGACTCGAATTAATTTTACTTTACGTATCTATCTAAGTAGAACAAAGACAGTTTTTCATTTAAAAGACTTTGACTAATGTAGGTATGATTCGATATTAAAATTAGCTTGCTTTGTTATTCTTGATAAGCATTTAAACATGGTTATTGGCAAACCATAAAATACAACAAACATAAACAAGATATTCAAGTTAGATTTCAAACATTGTTTAGGGAAGGAAATGAATATAATTGAAGCAGAACATTAAATCACTGTGTTTAACATGATTTGTTCTTGTTCAAAAGTTATTTTTGTCATCGTTTAATCTTAAAATGATCGTTGTGGAGGGTTTTCATCACTTAGTTACGTACATCAACATATTTTGAACTTTTGATATGATAAAACTTGTTTTGTTGATATGTGTTGATTTGCTACTGAAATAACATACTAAAGTCAATATTTTATAAGTGTTCTTCAACTTTTATAACAGATCAATGATTGTGGACAATGTGTGGTTGCTTAATATATTTTTGTTACAAGATTTATCTATTTACTTGGATTCATTCATGTACAGGAAGATCATTAATTGCTGGGTGGGGGCTCATATTGATTTATGTATATAATATGTTTTTATTCTTCAGTTGCTAGCTATTTTATGTAGTTTGCCTATTTTTTTTAGAATAATAATCTAACCAATAAAAAATAATTTTGGTCATACGCGTACAGATTCTTACATCTTTTACACAATTTTGAGTCAACTGTAATAAAATTATGCCAACTAATTTTCCATTAATTTTCTTGTTACAATGTTTTGTTGACCATTTTATTGCTTTCATTGTATTTGAGCCTTATTGTGCTTCAATTTTGTTCATCTCGGTTAAAACCCAAGGATTTGGAGCGTCAGTTTATTAGTTTGCCGAATAAAAAGAACGCTAATTTTCCAGGGCTTAAAAGATGAGATTAGAATTTGTGTCTTTCCGTCCATCCATGCTTTGGAGTCAAAATCCGAATCATTATCGCTCAAATTTTATTGCTTTCCGAGGTTTCTGTCACTTATCCCGTAATAAAGTTTTGTCAGAATTATCTGACTGAACATTCAATTCTGATTTTGATTCATCGCTTTCTTTGCAAGACATAATTTTCTCAAATATTATAATTAAACATCGTGAAAGAACGTATATGTTTAACATAAGTTAAATATGCCCGAATGCTGACTATATTGGATCACGTCAAAATATCTTCTAGTGCCATTTTCGGCGTGGGCAAAAAATGCGCAACTTCAAGATGCCAAAAAAGCATGTTGATTTAACAAAATTTCTAAAAAATTTTTCTCAGAAAGACTTAAAATCATTGACAAATTTCATATTGCAGAGAAAATTTTGCTGGAACAAACTGAAAACGTGTCTGAGTGAGGCAGTGTCTGTCTGTCCGTCGTGATATCTTCAGCTGAAGAGATTTATAAGATTTATGAGATTAATAAGGACATGGCAACTATATTTTTTTCTGCATGCTTCCTTTGCACAATATTAAAACGTGAACACTAGCACACATAACATGCTCTGAGAGTAGGAGAGCAGTAAAAAAGAACGATAATGATAATTACTGAGCATTTTTATTAAATATTGACCACAGAGAACGTTTTGTACCAAAAAGAAGTGCCAAAGGAAGGAATGATTTCATTTTGTGGCATTTTGATAAGAAAATGCTTTTTGTTATTTCACATATGTTATTATTACGAAATGACCTTTGGACTTGATTTTGTGAATGGCCTTGGGACTTTACTTTAATGAAAAATACAACACTAAGCAGTTGGACTACTGACTACTGTTTGTTCCATGTACTGTAACTCAGGTCAAGGCTACCCACATGTACACACACGTACCTATTTTTTATGTACCTTGTACATCTGGGGACGGTTGCACGAAGCCTGGATAGCATCATTCGTCGGATAGTAAATTTTTCAACCTTGTAGAAAAAGGTGTTTATATTTTCCTTAGGGGAAAGAAATTTTGTAATCTTAGAAGCAATATTTCAATGATTGCTTAGTACAAATCACATATAATTCCCTTTTAAGAGATTTTGTAAAAATTCAAAACAATTTGTCATCTAATGGATAAAACTATTCTGCCTTGATGTAACTGGCCGCAGGTTTTACTTTATAATTACAATAAATTTGTACCATGGAAATTTTACCTACTTTTTTTCTACAGGGAGCAACATTATGTCTGTCTTGAGCTCAGAGATGAGAACTAATGGTTTTAAGTTGATGAGGTTGATTGTTGATGTTGGTGGAGAAGCTTTGAGAATAACATTGAGGAAACAACTGTCAGGTACTGATTTATTTTATGTTTTAAATGATCCCGAAAATGCGCAACTACTCAGTAGACTAATCCATTCACATCAATGGGATCTACTGTATCCAGATCCTTCAATATTACCAAATGAAAATAAGTTTGACATTACTTTACTTTGTATACTCCTGCGTAATATTTGCGATTTAAAACCACCTCGTGATCCAATATGGACGTCAGTAAATGACCCAAATGATCATTCAACTGAAGCAGATATTACCCGTATCAGGTTATTTCGTAATGAACGTTTTGCTCACTTACCTAACACTTCAGTAAGCTTTGATGAATTTGAAAATCATTGGGTGGAAATAAGCGAACCATTAGTTCGTTTAGGAATAAGTCAGGAAGAAATAGATAGATTGAAAAATGAGTTGTTTGGTAATGAAGAACGTGAAAGAATTGTGAAAGAATGGGACAAATTCAAATTTGATGTACATAATCGTTTGTTTGTAATTGAAAGTAAACAGGAAGAAATGATAAGTCATCAGGAAGAAATGAAACGTCACCTAGTAAGTTGTAACTTTGAAATTGAAATTAGACATCATAATGAAAAATTTCTAGAGGGAACTCGGGAATGGGTTTTTGATGAGTTTTTGGCTTGGTTCGAAGACGACAGTTCTCAAAATCGTGCATTTATTATTTCTGCTGTTGCTGGCATGGGTAAATCTGTAATTGCAGCTACTTTATGTAAACGTTATTCGCACTACTTGACTGCAGTTCATTTCTTTCAACACAACAACAGTCGTTACAATAAAGCCAATGTACTTCTTCAATCTTTAGCGATGCAAGTTAGTCGTAATTTTCCTGCTTACAAACAACTTCTTGTGACAAAACTTTCGGGTCAACTGTGTGAGCCTTTGAATAACATGAATGTGGAAGGATTATTTTCCCTTCTTTTTACTGAGTTGTTTGTTACAATTTCGGAGTTTCCTAAGCGAATTCTAGTGGTGTTGGATGCTCTTGATGAATGTGGTTATCCAGAAAGAGATGACCTTGCTAAGTTGATTGCTAATCACTTGCACAAACTTCCGTCTTGTTTTCGCTTTGTAATTACCACGAGACCTAACGAAGTCGCTTTGAATAAGTTCGAAGAATTAAATCCACTGTTCATTAATTGTAGCGATGATCGCAATTTAAAGGATATTAAATTTTTGATTAAAGAAAGAATTGGCTCTACTAACAGCCTTTCTTCTATTTTGGCAAAAAAAGCTGACGGACATATGTTGCTTGCATCGCTTCTTACCAGCGAAGTCAAAAATCAGGAACTATTGATTGGATCCTGGCCAAAGGATATTAATGAGTATTATGAAACTTGCTTAAAAAGATTGGGTAATGAATTAAAGCCTTTTGGTATCAATGACGAAAAATTTCTGTCATTTTTGGATGCTTTAGTTGTTGTTAAGGAACCTGTTCCTTGGGAAATGATTTTTGATGTACTTTGTTTAAAACGCACCTCATATAGGGTTGAAAAAATTATCTCATGCCTGTTTGTTATCAATGAAGAAAAATGTGTGTCGTTTTTTCACAAATCCTTAAACGATTGGCTGGTTTCTAATCATAAGCATGATTACTCAGTAAATATTTTTTACGGTAATCGACTTCTTTTAGATTTTTGCTTAAAAACATTGGATAATCTCAAAGCTGAAGGTGTAAACTATGACGTCATTAAACATGCGTCAGTGAGATATTCAGTCAAGTATTGGTTGCTTCATTTACTTGATATTTCTAATAATGATTATATCGTTGAAAATGTTGGTAAATATTTTCTTGACTTGGAAGTTTTAGTTGCTCTTTTGTTGGTTGATTGTCGTCGTACTTTCGAAAATTTTGAGTTATTTAACGCACATGATGTGTACTTTCTTATTTCTGAGGACATTCGATTGTTATTTAATGAAGTTTATTCTGTAATGACGTACTCTATGCCTTTTGACAATGAAGTAGATTTTTTGCAACTCGTTGCCGACGAAGTCAAAGATCTTTCGTCTCAAGCCACCACAGTGCTTCAAACACGTTTCAAAGATTCACCATACCTAGAGCTCAGAGACACGGGTTTTGTAAAGGCTCGATTATTACGTTTAAATCAATATTTGAAGTCTGTTGATGTTTCACGAAATCATGATTACGTCGTCTGTGGTTATTATGGATTCGTCGTGCAACTTTTTTCATTGAGAACAAACAGATGTTTATGGATAAAAAATATTGCTGGTCAGTTTAACCAATATGAAGAGATAATCCGTTGGGTTGTAGTGAAAAAATTTTCCGTTGTCTTTCATCCATTCAAGGATTTGATTTTTGCTTCCCAGCTTGATAAGGTACTAGATATTAATGGTAAAATTTCCTCCAGTCCGTTCCAATGTGATGATTATACTTCTAAGTTCTTTACCAACAAATGTTTTTCTAAGGATAAGTACGAAATGGTCACTAGTTATCATTATACTTTGACAGTATGGGACGTTGAGAAAGGTAAGAAGAAACGCAGTATTAGATGTAATAATGTGGTGACCTCACTGTGTTTTTCTAATTCTGGAAGATATTTGTGTGTTATTACGAAAGAAGGAGTGGTTCAAATATTTGATGTAGCGAATAATTATGAAATATTTGTTTACGACGTTCATTTACCGTCTAAAGAATTAAGTGAGGATGGAGTTTTGTTCAGTGTTGGTCCTTATTCTTGGCGTTGTTGCCATCGTTTTCGTAGGAGTGAGCATTTCATTGTAAATTTCACTAGTGAAACTTCCTTACTTAGGTCCTCATTCTCAAATTTCGTTTTTATCTCTTGATCCTTTCGATGTGAGCAGCTCTAGCTTTCCTACTCTGGGAACAATAACGTATTTTTTAAATTTGAATAACGAAAATGTTCTTTTGTTTGAATACGGACGTAAGCATTATCTTTATATAATACCGCGTGCATGTTTAACTAACAGTTACAGTTTTCATAACGAGAAATTTTGCTCAAATGGAAAATTTCTGTATCTGAGCAATAAAGAAAAATCAAGTGTAATTATATACGATCTCAACACATTTGACTTTGATGTCAAGGAATGTTTTGTTAGTGACATAGTTGCTGTAGAAAATGGAGTTATTTTGCTTACGGCAAAAAATATTCCTGAGCTTTGGAATAATGATTTGACAAAACTTGTTTATAGTTTCGATGAACTAAAAGGTACAAAAAAAATTTTTGAGGTGAGTGATGTATCATTTGCTTGTCGAAAAACAGATTCTTTTGTGTTTTGCAATGTTGAAAACAAGCGAAAAGAAATATCATTGAATTTTGAAAATTATCGAAATGTGTTCGTATTTGCATGTAGCTCTAAGTATCACGTGTTTGCTACAGTTAAATTTCAGGATCAGATAATTTACTGTATGTGGCATGAAGACAAACTTATTAATGGTTGGGATGATGTAATTAAGGAGGAAATCGCCAAATACTATGGAAATGACTTCCGTTATAATACTTCCGCTGCTTTTTCACCTTCAGCAGAAAAATTATTAATAACTTACAAGCGTGAGCATGTGGAAGTATTTGATGTTAAAAGCAAACAAATAATTTATAGTTGTACTAAGGTTCTTTTTCAGCCAAAGTTTTTCTTTGTTGATGATAGGTATATAATTAGTGATCAATTTTGTGATTTGATTGATTTGAAATATTCTAAGATTGTTAAATTATTTCGCCCGCGTGTGATTATACCTCCAGATACCTTTTATTACTGTCGTAAACGCAAACTTGCTTTAATTTATTCTTCCTTAAAGACCCCGGTACAATGCGTAAAAATCATCTTGCCACGTGAATAAATTTGATCTTTCATGATAAAATTTCTCACCATTTTAGATAAGGACTTTATTATCTTTAAGAAAATCTTGTTCAGTTTTTATGCATGATCCCTAGAAATATCATTGAATTTTGAAAATTATCGAAATGTGTTCGTATTTGCATGTAGCTCTAAGTATCACGTGTTTGCTACAGTTAAATTTCAGGATCAGATAATTTACTGTATGTGGCATGAAGACAAACTTGTTAATGGTTGGAATGACGTAATTAAGGAGGAAATCGCCAATTTAATCGCCGACAAAGTCATTGGAGAGTATGAGCGTGATATGACTCCCTGTATAACTTACGCAGATTTTTCACCTTCAGCAGATAAATTATTAATAAGTAACATGCGTAAGTATGTTAAAGTATTTGACGTTAAAAACATACAAATTATTTATAGTTATACTAAGTGTCTTTTTGGGGCTAAGTTTTTGTTTGTTGATGATAGGTATATAATTAGTGATATATTAAATTTGATTGATTTGAAATATTTTAAGATGGTAAAATTAATTTACCCCCCTGTGGATGTTAGTATAACAACTTATTTAAACTGTCGTAAACGCAAACTTGCTTTAACTTTTTCCTTTAAGGTCCGCTACAATGCTTAAAAATCATCTTGCCACGAGAATAAATTTAATCTTTGATGATAAAATTTCTCACCATTTTGGATAATGACAATCTTGTTCAGTTTTTATGCATGATCCCTATCATTGTTGACATTTCAATTAATGTCTGTTTACGTATGATTTCATAAAACGACATTTGTCTAAGTTTGATTGTTCTGTACAAACACCGCAGTGTACGATAATGTCAACATTTAGAGAGATCATGTATAAAAGCTGAAGTTAATTAAAGATGAAAATTCAATGGCAATAAAGACAAACCATAAACACAAATGATTTCGTGTCAAAGAAAATAATTTTCCTTGCACAAGAAAATTTTATTGACTTTTATCTTATCACACAAACATATAAAATGCAAACTATTGTTAGTTTTTGTACCATTGGCTATATTTTGGTTATATCTACACCATATAAACATATAACTTTTAGGCAAATGTATTCAGTGTAGGATGGTTTTGATATTGCATCTTTTTCGATACTCTTTTACACCAAAAACAAGTTTTTACTAATTAAATCAATACTATCTTGCACTGAAATAATTTCTTAATTCTTTTTAATTATTGCATTTTAATATACAAAGTATTTATGTGTTAAGTTGTTAAGAGAGACAAAGACAGCCCAATTGTTACTTCGGTTATGTGAATATTTTCATCTTAATCAATTTGAAAGACGTAATTATTTAATAAAACAATGGTACCTTTGCTAATATTTTCAATAAAATCTAAAAATTTGGCTGTCTTTCTCACTGACTGTTAAAAAGTAGATCGTAAACTCCACAAGAAAATGACTTATGATTTACGTTCATCATTGTGATAAACATTTGAACCATTGAAAAACTCCAAACCGTATGAACAGGAAAAGTTAACAAAAGTGAAAGAAAGTTTTGCAATATAGAGAGACGGAAGACAAACGACAATCTCTCATATGGAAGGATGTTTAATGACAAGTTTTTAACTTTTAATGAAAAATCAATATCAAGCATTCTTAAAGTTTGAACACTTTTACTTTGTGAATCGATACTTTATGGAAATATTTTTTTAACAACATCAACTCAAACATCAGTAGACATACTAGTTACTTTGCCAAAGTTTGATATGTTTATGGCTTGGCTATAAAATTCCAACGTCTACTCTTAATTCAAACCATAATACAAGAAGGAGAAGCTTTGTTTCAGGAAGTGACGTTATGAAAGAAATGACAAATTTATGTACCATAGTTCTCTGTGGATTTATTGTTGTACTTTGTATCGTCAACCAGGTCACGTGTTCATTGAAATGTCATCAGTTGTCAAAAGTGAAAGATATGAACTTTTACATTTTTATAATGGTGAAATTGGCTGTTCACTTTGTTTACTTTTCATAAAACTGAAGCGTGAAAATTATCATCTCATGTGGACGTTTTAATGTGAACATAACCCATAAGTAATCATGAGAGAGAATAAAATGAATTTGATTTTACTACATTGTGGCTGTTAGAGATGGCTAAAGGGACTTTTTTGCTTCATCTATAATTGAAGGAGCTCCTTGATAGAAACACAATGTCATTGTGAATATTACGACACTCGATTGCCTTTGCGCATGCTCTGAAATATATATGTACTTGAAAGATACGATAACATTTGTGATATGATTTAAGATCTCAGCATCAACATCTCATGAAAATTCAAAACAAACATTAGCTTGGATGGTTGTAGATTAAAAGTGATAAGTTTAGTTCATATAAATGGTCAACAAATCATTCACAACAAAAGTAACTTCAACATGTAAGAACTACGTCAAGTTATAAGAAGAAAAAGTGTGGAAAAATTTCAACGTCATTCTTTTTCAAGATGTCATATTTCTGAATCCACTGTGTTTTATTTTTTATTTAGTGAACAATTTTAGATCATTAAATTTTATTCATTTTTTGTGTACATATCTACGTATAGTTAATAACATCTAATAAACGGACATCTACCGTAAGCAGACATTAGGTCGTGGTCTCAAGGATGTCTGTTTACGAGTACCTTGGCTGTATGCAGACTTTTTATTACTGCACTTTTTCTTTACGTTTGTAGATTTTTCTTTTGCGTTTGAAATTTTAAAAGCTAAATAAATGAATCCCACATAGTTCAATTCCATTTTTTAGATTAGTAGTAATTTTCCAACAGCCATGTGAAGATTACTGGTGCTTTATAGAAGGAGGTGTATTATCTTGAATTCAAAACTACCAATTCTTAAAATTAGCATTAATAGTTGTACAATAACTTTCACTCACACTTAGCAGCATTATTTGTTGGTAACTGTCATCTTGTAAAGGAAGTTGAAAAATACCCACATTTTATCAAAACAGAACAATTGCAATTGTCATTTTAAAGACTGGTTGGGGTTCATTCATTTAGTACTTATAAAATATTATTTAGAGAGAAACTTTCTTATTGCGCAGTGTTTTGCTGTATTTTGTTTTTTAACATATTTTAACATAGTTTTATTACATTAGTATGTTAATGCAGGAAATAATCGTTGTATAATTTTTTTCTACAAAATTGTTACAATATATGTGTGTTCATCTATATATAGTGTCTTAAATAATAAACACTTCCAAGTGTTTTCTTAATTCTTTTTTTATCGATATTTGACTTTCGTCGCTTAATAAGCTCGAGAAACGTTTTTTCAATTTTGGCTTGGTGGCTGTTTTATTCGTTATGATAATAAAATGAGCGGGCAACACCTTTTCAGTTATTTTCCTTACAGGAAACCATGCATTTATTTCAAGTCATGTGACTACTAGTGAACCAATCGAAATTACTATACACAGCACCTATATAACATTACAACTAATTATATAAATAGACATAATTCAAAAGTTGATTTGTTATTTGAATGGTTTGCAGGATTCCAAGTCTAAATCAAACAACTTTCATGCACATCATTAGTCTCCTAGAATTTAGTGGGACATGGTGATTAGGAATTAAATTTTCAGAATAAGTTAAATTTTATAATACTGTTTTTTGATACATCCTGTATTTGTTCCTTTTTGGAAACACCCCGTATAATGTATATATGTACGTAAAGAATGGTTCACAAGGTGAGATCATTAGCTTCAATTACATCTTTTACTTGTAGAATCTTATCAATTTTCTTACATTAAAGTTGTAGCAAACAGATACTTTAATACTAATGATTTAATAGTTTACTATGTAATTATGATTAATAAGAATCTGACATGTTGACAGGAGCTATATTTAGGGATGAAAGTTGTGAGAAAACAACAAAAGAACGTAAGTAGAACTTAAAAGTGTTTGATGTTACTTAGGCCTAGTTCAAGCGTCGAACTTTACACGAACCAAACACATTTAAAACGAAAGATAATGAGGAAACGCATCTCAATTTTATTTGTCTTTAACGCGTTCGGTGCATGTAAAGTTCGACGTTTGAAACATGCCTTAGATTGAAATTAAATGATATCATTATAACACTTCAATCTTGAAGGTAATGTAACATTTATATTTTTTGATAAGCATTCTGAACACCATGTGATTTTTTTATTGTGTCTATAGTTAATTAAAATTGTATTGTTAGTCCTGATTTCAGGACTTTCGTATCGGTTTGAGGAAATGGCGCATATGCCATGTTGTTCGTCATGCTCATTTTACCCAAGGACAGTTTAGATTACTTCCGGTAAATGAAGTGAATACAAACTCTTAAACGGGTTTTCGACTATAGCACCATACCACAGAATAAGAATATACAGAAGAGTCACTCGCGTTGGAACAATTGATGTTTTGTCCTCGCGCATGGCGGCCGCCATTATTCCAGCCTGATGATTAGGGTTTTTGACTTCTTCCAAACCTTTAAAATGATCTCAAGTCATTTTATAAATCAAAATATACTTGAATAAATTATTAAGTATTGACGTCATGCAATTTTAATGGTTGTAAATAAATATAGTATAAAAAACATAGTCAACCTAGACGCGGCACTCGCTTTTCAAGATTTAATGATAATATTAAAGTTTTGTAGAACACCAAGCTGATATTTGTTATTTTTCATGTCAACAAAACGATCCTGATTACCTATGATGCCCTGTTTTGTCAAAAGGTCTATTACATGACTAGATTATACGATAGGTTTTTAGGTTAAAATACATTTTATTCAATTAAGTTGAAATACAATGGCGTTCCAAATAACTGATCCGTGTATTTGTGACGCATTGTTTAAAATAGGTTGAAAAGTGTTATTTGCTGTTTTTAGTTGTATATAATTACAATGCACATTAAAATGCAGATTAATTTGAACGTGCACTACATTGATTTCTTAAGCTTGGTTCCCACGAGTAAAATAAACACGAACGTCGGCAATTTTTTCCTATTGCTCTATAGGTTTATAAAGACAAAGACATTGGGATTTTCTTTAAATCTTCTTTTTGTTCTTCTTTTGACTTCTCCTAGCTTATGCTTGATTTTTT